TGAGGTACCTTCAAAGAACAAAATATTACATGCTTATGTATAATGGATGAATAATCTGGAAGTGATTGGATATTCAGATTCAAACTTTATTGGTTGTGTTGATTAACACAAATCAACATCAGGGTATGTTTTTATGATAGCTGGTAGAGTTGTATGATGGAGGAGTGTCAAGCAAACCTTGGCTGCTACTTCCACTATGGAAGTCGAGTTCGTCTCATGTTTTGAGGCCACTTCACATGATGTATGGATCAAGAGTTTTATATCTGGAATTAGAATTATGGATTCAATTTCTAGGCCATAAAGAATTTACTGCAACAATTCGATTACTGTCTTTATGGCTTAGAGCAACAAAAGTGGTAGTTGACGTAGATATATCAACATCAAGTATTTTAAAGAAAAGAAAGTGGTCATTGAGCACGTAAGCACTGAACTGATGATCGCGGATCCTTTGACTAAAGGCATGCCACCATGAAAATTCAAGAATCGTGTAGAGAAAATAGGATTTGTTTCCACTATGTAATGGTATACAATTTTTGTATGAAACTCTTATCTGTAGTAGTATTTACTCATATTCATGCGCGCCTTAATTTATTTGAGAAAACACATCTTTGTGGAACCAAGGATAAGACATAGGTTGTTTTTCATTAAGCATTGTTACCGCATAAAGAATATTTTTTAAAGAACTAAATATATTGTAATACATGGAAGATAATACTCGTTATTACAGGACTATCGCCATGATTCGTGTATTTATTTCTTAAAAATGACGTATGATGGGATTAAGTTGAGACATTATGTTAAATGTATGGACCAAGTGGGAGAATATAACCGATCTGTTTCTTCTATCAATGTGGTCCAATGTTCTTCAATTTTTTAGAAACTTACCCATTAATTGGACAATCAAAATTGGTAACTGTGGCCATAACTTGATGGGGGGTTTGGCAATATTATAGATGGGTTTGGTCCCTGAGTTCCACACTCGAAAGTACAGATTATACAATATCATTGTAAAAGTGTTGAGAGCTTAGAAGTACCAGTACATGAAACAAAACGAGAGCTTCTAAACAATATCAATGGTCAGAGGTATGAACTCAATCCATAAGTTTACGATTTTTTTTATCCAATATGTTTCCACATAATTGTTTTGGATCGATTTTCAATCTAACAGTTCATTGACAATTCTTTAATTTTTCGAAAGAGTAAGAAGCAAACTCAAGTTTCTAAATCTTCTACAAAATAAAAATAATGTATGATGTTTATGACACAGTCTGATATTTATCTGGCTTCGTGGGCTTCTGGCTCAGTCTAGATCTTATTGATTTTTTCTCAGTTTACTTTCCGATGTACTTTGCTTTTCTTAATTTTAATAATATGTTGGGATGGATAAATGATGAGGATACTATGAAAAAATCAACATAGTTGGGATGTTACGGTGCACCTACCAATTCTTGTCACCTACAATCGTATATATAATTCTGTAAAATATTGAGTTTAGACCTAAAAAAATGCTATCGAGATATAGTCTTTTATAATATCAAGATCTCCATAACAATGTTCTATCAACAATTCTTCAATAAGCCCAATATGATCCATAATTTTCAATCAATCAATGATTTTCAATATGATGAAATTGTCTGGAAAGTACTCATTCGGAGAGTGAGGGAGAAATAAGATCTCTTTTATGAAATTATATGAACAAAACTCTCATTTTGTACAATGTCCATTTTCTTGGTCGTCTCTTTTTCTTCTACAATCCTTATCGAAACTATTGAATCTTTCTTCCCCAAACTTAAAGTCGGGGTGGAATGAAATGGTCCAATGCGAACAATTGCCCCCACTGAATTTTGAGGTACGAAATATTAGAGACATATCCTTATCAAAGCAACCAACAAGTCGAGACATGGCTACATACCTCATTGCATGATCTTTGTTAGACAATAGCGGATAGTTAATGTATTTTTGGGTTGTTAAGCCTCGCTTGAAAACTTGAATATAATGAACGTCTCGAAATTTAGAGGTTGTCACTATTATGGAAACTTTTTTGTTGCGCAACACTTG